ATACCCTTTTATTTGTTTTGGTTTTTTTTACTGTTTAAGATTATAAACTATAATTTTTTGTACGATTTTATATAAAAGACCTATGCAAATTAGTTTACTAATTTGGTGGAACAAAAGGTTTGTGCCATAATAAAATGCTTGCAGTTGAAAATGTGAAAAGGTTGATGTTTTTTTGTTTTCAGTTCTCTTGAGCACTTGATGCTTTCATGCATTAACATCTGCAAGTCTTCTGCATATTGTTCTCCCAGCTTTGGAAACCTAGAGAGTGATCTGACAATTCTTTTTAGTAAAATAGCTCTAGGTACATCACATAAGGGGTCTAGAAATATAATTCACAGTTTGTCAGAACTTTGACTATGCCATTCCAGCTCATGATCATGCTTTCACCTTAACCACTGAGCATACCCAGCTGTGCAGTTGATAACTAAAAGGAAACCTGGTTGCAAATTTGTTCCTGCAAGCAAACGTGTTTAAGAGTTTCTTTGCCTGTATTTAGCTTAATTTCCTTTCCTGAACAATGTATTTGTGCCTTCTATGAAAAATCTAATAAAACATCAACATAGAATTATGGTGCTACCACTATGATTTATAATAGAGTGAGTTCTGAATAATGTGCTCTCATCTGATTGCAGCACCTTCTTTCACATGTTTCTGTGTCCCCTCTCCCTCATGTGAAAAAACTAAAACTAAAAGGGCTTTTCATCGCTTGCTTTGCACCATGACTCTTTCCTTGTCACTTTTCCATATGTGCAGGACAATCAACCCTGTGCAGTGCTTCTCCTGTCTGAACTGTGTATGTCTGCAGCTCCTCAAGAGTTACAACAGTTGTCTTGGTTGCTTATATCCATATAAAAAGGAAAGCAGGTATTAGGGCTTAGATAAGAACATTCAGGGCTGGATTGAACAAAAAAAAAAGAAATGATTATGTAATATACTTTTGCTTCCTCTCTTGAATTGTAAACAATGGTTGCAATGATAAGAAAGACCTAAGTACACCTGAAGGATAATGTTGCCTCTTCACCTCTTGACCTCACCTTTTTTTTTCCCTCTCTTCAACCTTTGTCTTTCTCGGCCTGAACCCTCTGTTCTCTAGGTCATGTTTTGGTTCATTCTGGTCACTTTAACTCTTTGGTACAAAACAAAGCATTATCTTGCCTCTGTTTACAACCTGACTGCTGAGCCTCTGGGCATGGTGACATTCTTTAGCCATTTCCCCTTCAAATTCCCTCATAGAAGCTCAGTCACACCTGCATACACCTGTGCTTTTGTCCTACCCAGAACTGAACCCCCCCTGCTGTGAATGTGCTGCAAGGGCCTTGCCTGGAGGTATGCCAAAGCAGTCAGTCATTTTCATTGATTGGTAATAGTGAATAAGATAATGTGAGAAGAGGTTGCTTTAATCACCATTTGTTTACCTTTTCACAATTTATTGCATTTAAAATGCACAATCAAATGCAGTCAATAGAGATATTTAGGAAAAAACAGCAACAAACTGTGGATCACAGTGAAGTTGAAGAAAAATTATTAATTCTGTTTTCTGTTTTCTTATCTTTTTTCCCACCGAAAAAAGGAAAAGAAAATGTGTCGTATCCATTTACATATAGGGCCTTTAATATTATACCCTTTAATAGTTCTAGTAAAACCATATGCCTTCAAAGGTATTACTTTTAGTACGTACTTACTGTTTGTAATATATTTAGAGCATAAATATAGCAGCTATGTTAAGGTGTCAGATTTTTTTTAGAGAAAAATAATGAGCCATTAGCTTTTAGAAGCAAAATAACACTAAAACACATGTTTGCAATAAAGTCATGTATTAGTTTAAAACAAGTTCAGGCTGCAAGACAATTTTGTGAGATTGGACTTCTCACATAGCAATGTTTAATCATCATTCTCAAATAGAAAGCCTATGGGACAACATCAAGCCACCAAAAACAACTATATAGACAGAACTACAACTAATCATGGATCTAACAAATTTTGACTTTGCAATGAGAAAGCCGTTGTTGAAAGAAAGCCATAAGATGCTTTGTTTGCAGCTGGTTTTCCAGTGGCCACAACCGTCTCAAGGGACACAGCAAACATAATCAGGAAGCTTCCATAATCAAAGCTCACACTTTTTATTTTTTATTTGCAAAACATGGCTAGGGCAGCCTCATACTGTGAAGAACATTTTTCCTCAGCTGGGAGGAATCTAGTAAGAGTTGATGGTGTTGAATCTCAGAGGGAAAATGAAATAGTAATAGAATAGAATGAATAGCCGAAAGACAAATAATTGGAGATGTTGCTTGTTACAATCCTTATTATAAATATAGAACGTTTGTACCTTAAAAGTGGAAAGCTAGACAGTGTAAATGAGAGGATACTGTAGATGAAGCTAACTACTGAAAAAAAAAATGCAACTGTTTTTGCAACTTACTTAATTGTATTTAGATACTGTAACACAATTGTTTCATGTTGGCAGGTTACGACATATAACAATTGTGCTAAAGTAACTAAATATGATTAAGTAAATACCAAAAGCAGTTTTTTATAGATCAAAGTACATACATTTTTCAGAAAGTCTGAATCCAAATGGATATCTGTGGTCAGACTTAAATAAAGCTGCTCACAGATACCCTCCATGCCATTTGATTGAGCTTTTATGCCAAAAAATGGGTAAAATGTTGGTTTCTACACTTGAAAAGTGGAGATAGACCACCGTTAAAATGCTCGTAGCTCTAAGAACTCTTACAACGGGCTGATATAAAGGAGTGAAAAGTTTTAACTCCCCAGACTTTTCTAATTTTTTTTTTTTGTTAAACAATTTAAAAACATTTATACTTTTGTTTTCTTTGTCTCAAACATGAACTCAAAGAAGAACAAATTTAAGTTTACAGTTTGAGGGTAAAAAATGTTTTACAAGATTCCATAATAATTGTCTTAAAAAAATTGCTAGGCATTATCCAAAAGGATCAAATCTGCAATCTCCCTCCAGCCTGGAGGGACTCTTTTACAGTGAGTTGGCGTAACTCATCAACTCTGAGAGCAAAACCAAACACAGCAAGAGAAAATGTTTTAAAGTTTCCTCTTCTTGTTAGACTGGAAATGAGATGTGTGATGGCTTTAACAGGTGTTTCTTCTGGGACCTTCTGGAAACCCCTTTTTCTTTTCAGTCTCTTTAAGTGCAGTGATTTGATTTTCTAAATGGAGTAAATGGGGATCTGTGGGTAAAGCATATGGAACAGATTGTCCGGTTTCTACTTCAACCTCTATGTGTCACTGCATGTATATTTTTCTTTTATGACCTTGTTTGAAGAAACACTTAATGTTTCCTGACTTTCTAAATAAAAGAAGTAAAAATAAAGCCAAAGTTATATTATGCCAACACCAAAAGTGTATTTTAGACAGAAAATACCAGTAGCAAAGGATGGTTTTTAAAAGCCACTGACCATCTTCTTCAACCCCCCTCCCCGCGAACCCCACCCTCATTTGCTGGCCTGACACACCCAACCCATTCGCTGTTCACCATGTTTGCCTTTTATCCTGTAAACTGGACCATGCGCCCACTTCAGACCACCATAAACATTTTTGTCCCTGATGACAAAGTCAGCCTGGGGAGGTTTGATATAAATTAACCTCAACTACAGCCCATTAGATGCTCTAAATTGGAGCCATGAAGCCTGGGAAGTGTAAATGTTACAGCAGAAGAGTTGGAGTGTTAGTGCCGATCGCTTCCCCTGTCATAAAATGTCTTTATTTCTTTTTAGAGGTTGTATTTAAATTAAAAAGAAATGTAAATATACAACGCCTTACAAAAGTATTTCTGTTTTGTCATGCTGCAACAACCAACATATTTGATGGAGATTTTGTGACAAAAAGCAACACATTTTTGAAATGAAGGAAATGTTATTTAGTTTTTTCCGCATAAGATTACTTAGTATTTCTCTCAATTTATTTTAGTATCATCTTGGATCAGCTACCTCCTGCCAAACAAAATCCCCACAAGAAGAGTTCAGGCTATTATGACCTGTACACTGCTCTCTTAACACAGTTTGTAGCACAAAAAAGCTTTTTGCCACTCTTCCAAAAAGTGGAATTTTGTGAAGTGAACAGCTTTTAATGCATTTTTCCCTTCCTGAGGTAAGGATCTTTGTAGCTCATCCGTATTTGCTGTCATGCGTGTTGTGACCACTTCTCTGATTAATGTTCTCCTTGTCCAATTTGTCAGTTGAGCAGAAAACATGTTTACAGAAAACTAAAGTTTGATTTACAGAAATACATTTTTGCATTTTGTTAATCCTCCTTATTCTTATGCAAATCCGATCAAAACTGCTTTTAATAGGTGCGAGATGCTTTTGCTTGCTAATCTCAACAAAACACCTGTTTAAGGCACTAATTTAGTCTCTCCTTAAGTTGTTTAACTTTTGACTCATTGTGGGAAACAATCCTCCCTCCTAAGGTATTTTTATGAGGCCTGGCAGTAAAGTGGTGAGAAAGGGATGACTTTTCAACTTATTGTGACCATTGACTGCAGTAAGCCCGCGGAAGAATCACACAACAGCCCTCTCAATTTGCAAACATATTTCTTGGTCAGCTCAGGCTCTTTTTTTTTTTTGCATTTGTTTTTCCAGATCTCGTCTTTCCTCATGCCTTCTACCTTAATTGGGGTCCTTTGTTTGACCGCCTCCCTCCATAAACAATATAACTGCAGCTCTCCTGTCTTAATCCCCTCTTCTTCTCTCTGCTGATTCTTCTGGAGCATCGCTCACAGTAATTACCCCTTTCAGGCTGCAGAGTGCAATAATTGTCCTGAGTGTAACTACAGTGGCTCTCTGAAAGGGGGTCATTGTGTCGAGTTGAGACTTCAATTCAGTTAACGGCTTTTTTCTTTTTTTTGCCGGAAAAGATAATGAAAGTATTTGCTTGGCTTTAAGGAGAGAAAGAGATATGAAAGGAAGACCGAGTGGAGGGAATCAGAATTAAGCAGAGAGGAATAAAGTTCATGCAAACAAAAAAAGCTGATTATTTAATAGGCATTTATTTATTAATCAAGTCAGAATGCTTTTTTGCATAGAAAATAAACCCAGGAAATGGAATACTTGATTTCAATTTGTTTACTCGTGAAAGCACCATAAATTCATGATTCTGCTCCGTGAATCTAACATGTGAACATTTCTGAGGTTTTCTGCTTTGACACTATTTACAGACTCTTTTAAACACATTTCACAAGAAGCCAGCAAACACTTGTAGCTCCCGTATGGACCAGAGAAAATTAATCCTGCCAGCTGCAGCAAAATAGACATCTTTCCAAGAGAAAAAGAAAATAGGAAATGCATAAAAAAGTAGAAAAATATCACACCTAACAAAATTTATATATTGTTATTATTATATAAAGTATATTTAAACAATCTAGGAAGCCCTTTTTATTCATCACTTTACATGGTGTGGAAGAATTCACAATAAAAAAGTTACAGAATTCGATACTGCACACATAAGATTCAAGATCTATAAATAAAACTTTAATAACATACTTCCTAAATTCCAACTCGTAACTAATAAATAAGAAAAAAATCTTAATTTAATGCACCATATTTTTCCTTCTTGGCAAGCTTGAACCATTATTTTCCCTTTAGGTATAATATTTCCCACAACATGTAAGATAATCCCCTGTGTTGTATAATTTAAAACATAAATTAGATTATTAATGTAAAAATGAATTTAAATTAAACAAAGTAGGAAGCAAACAGCAAATACAATGCAACACCTTATCATGGTTTCTCTGACAACAAGTAGCTGTAAGTGAGATTGTCCATTTGAGGAATATTGAATAAGTATCAGAGCGCAGCTGTAAATCTGACTCTTTTTTTTTTAAGTCCAGGCATGCAACGCTTCATTGACTCCATCATCCCAACCATAAGTCTTGTTCTAAAACCGCTTTCCTTTTACAGCCTCGGAGCTCTTTTCCTTCTGCATTTGCAGATTACAATTCCCCAGTGGTTTCTCTCATTTAAAAGGCAGAAAATGTGTGCAGATTGCTAAATGTCCACATGACAATGTTTTCTCATATATAGGCCTGAGCAGGCATACTTTTTGTGGGTGCCCGTGCATATATGAATTCATTATATATGCTTGTGCATTTGCTTGTAGTTATTGTTGTGCATGCAAATGGTACACGTGTGTACATCATATACATCAAGGTTTTGGATGTGTGTATTTGGCAGTGTGTCTGCATATAATTTCTGCTATATGGCTGCAGGCTTGTATGTCTTTTCTTGCACTCGCATGTGGTTTCTACATGCCCAGTCATTTATCATGTTAAGTCCAAATGTTTTCTTAAATATTTTTTTTCTGTTTGTTTTCATTGGAAAGTTGCTTGTTTTTATCAAAGAAATCCCCCCAAATGTAAGAAGATAAAGCTGGAGGAGAACTTTAAAGGATTCAGATCTCCAACAATCCGCTGCTGTTCTCCACCCCATTAGATGTGGTGGTCTTCTCTTCTCCGTTGGCAATTTGGTCAGTGACAGGGTTGCTTGGTACAGCGTTGGAGTTCAGATCAGTTGTGTCTTCGGTCCGAGGGTCAGTATCTCCTTCCACGGCCCCGGTTTTGCCCTGCATTGCGGAATCTGCGTGGGTCTTCTGATGTTTTGAGAGGTGGTCACTGCGGGTGAAGCGTTTGTTGCACAGCAGGCAGGTGAACTTCTTCTCCCGCGTGTGGGTGCGCACGTGCCTTTCTAGCTCATCAGAGCGGGTGAAGCGCTTCCCACAAAACAGCCAATTGCACACAAAAGGCCTCTCCCCCGTGTGCCAGCGCAGATGGGCTTTCAGGTGGGAAGCCTTGCCATAGACTTTCCCACAGCCTGGGATGTGGCAGCTGTGCACAGGTTTTTTCCTCAGAGAGGCGGCGGAGGCTCCCAGCCTCTCCAGCTCCTGGCAGTTGGGGCAGTCACATGAAGACCTACTGGGAGTAGCCCCTCCGCTATAGCCTCCTGATCCCCTAGCAGGCTTTAAGCCCATTGAATTCTCAATTAGCCCCGCACTTGATACAGGTTTGGGCTTGTACATGTCCTGGGGCAACATGTGTTGGGAAGGTTGGAGGAGGTGGGAGGAAGAGCCCAGTCCTACCGAGGAGTACGGGGCTGGGTTGAGGGGCGTAAAGTCGGAGCTGTAACTTTGGAGCTGAGGGCTCAGCGATGCCTGTGGGGCTACAGGCTGGAGTGAAGCCTGTAGACCCCCATCGCTTTGGGGCTGTGTCGCTGAGAGCCAGTTGGAGTTGGGGTGGACGTCCCACCAGGAGGACGTGGCGTTGGCTGGAGCAGCAGTTATGCCGGGATGGATTCCAGCCTTATACCAGGAGCCATACGGGTGTGTCATATCCAGAGAGGTGTAGACACTGGTGAGACAGTCGGCTGGGGAAGCGTGTGTTTTGGACACTAAAAGAGACGGATCCTGGGACACAGATGTCTGGAAGGAATGGGAGAAAGGGTTGTACTCTGAAGTATACCCACCAGCCGAAGGAGGAGGGCTTCCAGTGGGACTCAGCAGACCACCGCCTCCTGCAGCTGTGGTGAATGAGCCGGCGTAGGAGTCCGTCAGACCACTTCCATCTGAAGCCCGCCCGTTTTTGACTGTCTGAAGGTCAGAGGTCATGGTGTACTGCTTCTTTACTGGAGAGCTGCCGGTTTTGCCAGGTGTTGCTGAATCCCTGATGGGGCTGGTGCTACCGAACTTGTTACAGGTAGCAGTTAACATAGCCAGAGGACTGGAGCCATAGCGTGTGTCTTCCTGGAGACCGAAATAATAAAAAGAAGACAAAGGGGGGAGGAAAGTGAAACGATATGTCTGCAGGATATGGCTGCTTGCCACTGCCTCTGTAAGTGTCAACACTAATAAAAAACTTATGTTTGAATGACACACATTTTCTTTCTGCACTCAACTCTAAAAAAAAGGTTGAGGCAGGGGATATTTAAACTTTTAAATGATCTGTTTATTCACCACATTACTCTCAGGTGACATTAAGCCTCTGATAACAAGCTGTTCTTGAATTTACAAATAATAAAAATTCTTTAAAAACTAGTGTAGATTCATGTGCAAAATTTCACACAGACAAAAAAAACTAAATCATTATGGTTTTGTTTAAATACTGAAATATCAAGAATATGCAATTAACTAAACCAAAATATTATACAGATGAAAACTGATTTTTTTTCATAAAACTTCCTGTTCATTATCATACTGACTGTTGAGTGGTCCCGCTTCTATATTTCTCTGTGACTAACTAAAAAAAACAAAACACTTAACACATGGATGTGACAGTATTTGCAGAACTCTCAGATTTTATAAATTTTTACAGTTTTAAAAATTCTTACAGTTTGTTTGAAGCTGGACAAAAATGAATTTAGAACAAGTAATTTTTTAATCATTATTATTATAATATGACCAGACTTTATAAATAGGAATTGATTCCAACTTTGCAGAACATTATCATCTATAAAGTTTCATCGCAATTCTGATCTGTTTGCTCTCAGAAGGGACTTCACTAAAAGAAACATATATATAAAAAAAGACAAAATCTTTATTGAAATTGAAGCATTGATTTAAATATCTGAGTTTTTTTCTTTATTACCTGCACTGTTACATTTACCTTATAATGCCTTTTAACACCCAATTCATTGTAATAACCTTAAAATGAAACTCTAACAATATTCTTACAGGCTTGATTTGTTTCAGGGAGAAAAGGAAAACGTACTTACAATTGCATTCCCTAGCTCCAGAACAGATGCGGCCATCCCTGAGAAACTAAATCCTTTAGGAAGCTGAGGGCAGAGGGAGAGGCGCAGCTCTGAGTCCCGGGACACTTTGGATGGAGTCCGGATCCAATGCGGGGAAGCGTTTTGAGGCGCACTGGGTCCGCCCCCTAATTATAAGCCCTGGGCTCTTTGAAGACTTGCTAAGAGGCAATAAAAACCCAAAAAGGATGGAGGGAAACGGACGGAGATTGGTGGCTAAAAAAGCGAGGACATCCCACCTCCTCACGAGAGATTTTTTTTTCTTTTTTAAATTCTTCATCCTATATAAAAATGATCGGGTAACTCATCAATCACAGTGCGCAATTTATTTCATTTTCCCTGCAGTTATGTGTGACCATGAGAAAAAGATTGAAAAACATAAAGAAAGAACATCCGAAGTAAAAAAAACAAAACAAAAAAAAAAACAAAAAACATTTATCTGTAATAAAATTATATTCACCGGTATAACGCGCGTTATTAGAAAGTTTCATCTCTTTGACAGTTTAACAAACAACTGAAGACCTCAGCGTTTCCTGGGTGTCGGGAATCATAATAATTAGTCTGCACCGCACAAATAAAAGAAATTAAGTTGAATAAGTGTGTGGTTTCTATATCCGAGGTTTTATTATTCTGGTTTTAAACCTCTCTCTGTTTTCAATATTCCCAAATGCAGTTAACTGCGTTTTTAGACTTAGTGAGATGGTTAAAGTGGCTACACTACAGAGGCAAGGCGAGAGGAAAAATTATCTAGTCGTAAAACAAAATAGGAAAGGAGATTATCACATCAATTAAAATAAAATTCAAACTTCAAGCAGAACTGGAAAGACTGCTATTCATTTGTTCGAGGTTCCTCAAAATGAAGCAAAGATAGAAAAAAAGAAGAATTCTGAGTATATGCATACATAAATCAATTGATTATATATATATATATATATATATATATATATATATATATATATATATATATATATATATATATATATATATATATATATATATATATATATATATATATATATATAATTATATATATATGTATTATATAGTATAAATATATATGTATTATATAGTATAAAGCCATTTCTAAGGCTTTGAAACTCACAGTGGAAAACCTATTTAAAAATATTTTAAGAAACAAATGACAAAATGATTGTAAAACAGTGCTTCTAATACCTATTTGAAAGAACATGTAATCACCCTGGTATAATCTGCAGCATTGGAAACCTGTTACATTTATTAGATCTGTATCATATTAGTTAAAGTAGGAATTTATGACTCAACAATATCAAAAAGACATTTATAAACAACTTAGGGTAAAACCCACTGATGAAGCATAACACAAAAGTTAACCGTACTTTCGGGGTAATGTTTTCTGGACTATGTGGAGTTTTTGGGATAGATTTAATTCAATTCAGCGCAGTTTATTTATATTGTGCCATTTCATAATACATGTAATTTCAAGGCATTTTGCAGTTCACCAGATCATACAGTCAAATAGATTAAAAATGTTATATCTAAGGAAAACCAGTTGATTGTTAGTCTCGTTACATCTGGAATAAAATTGTAACAGATTCTCTAAAAAATTAATGTCTATGGTCAAACATGGCGGTGGAAGTTTGATGGCCAGGGGTTAGTTTTCTGCTTCATTACCTGGGTGGTCTTCTGTAATTACTTGACCCGTAACTTTCCTCTTTAGCAGAAAACCTTGAAAGGGAATGTCAGCCTAGCTCAAAATTTTAAGCTCAAATGTATTTAGTCATACAGAAGACTATGATTGAAATCACACAAGCAAGTTCACCTTGAACTACCTCACAAAAACAAAATATAGTTCCTGAAGAACCCTTGTTAAATCAGGACTTTAATCTATTTCAGCTGCTATGGCAGGACATCAAACAGGATGGAATATCCTCTATTGTGTCAACTTGGACATAAAAGACTCACTTCTGCTCGTTGCAAACACACGAATGGCAATTAATTCAGCTTATCTTTATCTTTCTTTAAATTTTATTTAAGGACTGTGCTTTGACAAGAGAGAACACATCTTTAGAGAGTGAGGGATACACTATATCTTTATATGACATTTACAGAAGAAGTAACTTTAATTTAGCTATTGGAATAAAGCAATGCAAAACATTTTTATAATTTTTTTCTTAAGGAGCATTGTGAATGAATAATAATTATTTTTCTATAGTAACATATAAACAAATACGACAAATAATTAATATTAAGAATTTTCTCAAGGGATAAAGCAAAAGTAATGGATCTGACAATTTTTAAAAGGGATTTTATTACATATTTGCAAGCAAGTTCAAAAGAGACTGAGTGGCCGACTTAAAATGAACCCATCTCTGTTGTTTATGGGGCTTTATATAATATATTAAAATAAATTATGGGGACTTAGATTATATTTCTTAACAACAAACATCAGATAAAGTTATTCGTTAGAATTTAATTTATTATCAAAAAGGTCAAAAACTGAACTCTGAGCCTCAAAGCAGAAAACAGATTCTCAGCAGTTTTTTTTTTTTTGTAGGCGTCTCATTTTCTGAAGGAGAGCACAGAAGATTAAAATTGTTGTCAAAAATAAACATATAATTTCTGTCCTTATTTTCTCCTCAATTACAGGGCATGGTCAGAGCAGGGCTTGTCGTTCTGGAGAGTCTGGCCCTCACATGAACACAGCGGCTATATTTGGCAGTCTGCTCTGCAACTGACCTTCATTGCTTCGTTTGCTTCTTCCAGAAGGGGTGTGAATGAAAGAACAAAGCCTGCTTCATGCAATCATAAACACTGTCTCTATCTATCTATCTATCTATCTATCTATCTATCTATCTATCTATCTATCTATCTATCTATCTATCTATCTATCTATCTATCTATCTATCTATCTATCTATCTATCTATCTATCTATCTATCCATCCATCCATCCATCCATCCATCCATCCATCCATCCATCCATCCATCCATCCATCCATCCATCCATCCATCCATCCATCCATCCATCCATCCATCCATCCATCCATCCATCCATCCTACCGGTAGTTCAATCCATCAAACCAGACTAGTTCAATCCTGTCACATCCTCATGGATACATGTTTACGTGGCAATCTTTTCACACTTTCTGAGGCATTTCCTTCCCCTCTCATTTGACTTATGGTCTGTCACTGCTATAAGTCTTAAAGTGAAATTACCTTTTTTTTTTTTTTTTCCTCTACGATTCATTAATGCTTTACGTTTAGGTGAAATGACAGGGGAGGTGAAACGGCTTCCAAGTTGCTGCAAAGTGGTCCCGCAAAAGGACATTTTTCCGCATTTTATAAGACTCATCGTAATCTAAAACCATGGCGTGTTCCCATTTACTGTTGTCATCAAAAGAGAGCAAGTGAGATCTATAATTAGAGAATGTGTTACGCTCTTTTAACAGCCTCATCAAAAAGCTTTCTCTGCTCTATTTGCTGTTATGTGCCCGGTGTGGTTGAGATTTTTGGGTAAGGGCAGTGCAGCCTTGGGGGTTCTTAAAGCACTGGGTGGGCATGTTTATGTAGATACTGTAGTATCTGATGTCCCAGGTGGATTCTGCTGTACAGATAAACACCAGGTGTCTGGAATAAAACAAATAGTGATTAATTATAACTACCATACATGTGTTGCTGTAGTTTTAATTTCAATGATGGGCAGTGTTTTGTTCTTGATTTTAATGACATTGTAAAAAGCATTTGCGTGCCCATGTGGCTGGTTGCTCATTGGAGCATTCATGGTAAAAGTGATGTCATCCTATTTGAAGGTATCTAAATGCAGCTGCAAAGTCAAGTTATTAACTTGTTCAAACTTGTTAAGTGAAGAGATAAAAGAAAAAAACTTTCCACATTCATAAAAATATTGACAAAAACCTGATTATTGGAAAATGATATTGATTGCTTCCTAACAACCTTATTTTAAACCTTAAATTGAATTGTGCATGCACAGTCCACCCGACTCATGGTATACACCTAATACACCTGACCCTGTGCACATCAAAATTATTAAAATACACGTATCTGTAGCTACACTAGTAGCTACATAACAGTTGCAATTCCTTAATTTCTAGCTGTCACTATGTGTTGTGGCAAGGCTTATGTAAGAGCAGTTTAGATTATGGTTGTTTTGGAAGTTTTAGCCTTACCGGTACTTTCTCTCTCATTCCAGGACTGTGTATAATTTCAATGAACAGAAACTGATGGAGATTAAAGATCATCTTCCTGACCCTATGCAATCAACTTTTGACCGTCACCACGTCCTTGTCCAAGATGAAGGATTTGTTAAAACCCCAATGACTCTGAGCAATATTCTGCTCAATCTTGGAAAGATAACTATTCCCAGGTGGCCTCATTAAATTTAAAGTCAATCAAAGTTTTACTGTTGCCTTTATTATGTTCTGTAGTTCTGGATATTTCTTGGATCTGTCTTTTGTAAATTTTCTTGTGATGAGAATTGTGGTGTATTAGTGGGTTGGATATTTAAAAGGAAGTTCAAGTAAAATACAATAAAAATATTTTAGGTTTGGATATTGTTTGACCAGACGAAGAAAGTATAAACCAGCTGCACAGGGATTTGTGTTTTTTAGATGAGTCAGGGATACATACTGAAGTGGTAGTCTATGTTTAATTTGTTACACAATTATCAGGTATATCAGTAGAAGAAATTTAAAAAATGAAAACTATTTATGTATGTGGCAGTTTCCTCTGACAACATTTCCATCCAAATAAAAGCATCAGGGCATACTTTTCATTTATGCTTATCAGATTCACAAAAGCAGTATAATCAGGAAACCAGTATTGTGCACAACTGTCTAAATGTGATATCATTAAACATGTCAGAACACAAAAAACCCCCTAAAAATTTTAAACAATGACTCTTAGACATTAAAAAAATGGAAATTCTCTAAATTACTGTAGCAGCTGATAGTGCTGTAGTGCTGACACTACTATTATTTTTGCCATACATTATTATAAAGTTAAAGTTAAAATGAAATTAGCTAGTATCACTTTTTATGAGGGAAGAACATTTGTAGAATGTATAACTACCTATGAAAAGCCAAAGGGAAGGGGCCATCATTAGCTGCTATAGCTGCTTCCTT